GGGCGGGCCGCGGGGCTGCAGGGCCGGGGCCGCTGTGCGAGAGCGGCCCTCGCCCCGGCCCCGCTGCCCGCGCACGCATGCACGGCAGCAGCCGGCGCTTCCCCGCCCCGCAAGTCACTTGGGCTCTGCGGGCACCCCCTGCCCCGCGCAAGCAGCGGGGCCGCGTTGGCTCTGTGGTGATCCCCCACCACCGCCCTGTGCGTACAAAGGGAACTCCGGTAGCATCCTCTGGTATTAGCCCCTAACTGTGCCGGTAAGTGTGAAAATAATCAACGGGGTGCGAAAGGATTTTGTTCTGAGCTGAGTTTGTTGTCTTTGGGTCTAAATTCAGTAGTGGGAACAGATTTAAGAACACCAACGTGTGTCATTTGAACAGGCTTGAGTACCCGTTTGCTAGGTTAAAGGACCAGAGGACAAGACCTAGAAAGAGATGCTGCATGAAAAATGAGTGAAATCATGCTCCCACTAGTGTCAGTGGCAAAAGTCTCACTGTTTAGTGGCACTAGGCTGTCACCTTAGCAAGCTGTTTCCAACTTCTCATTTTCAAATGGTGTGAAATACGTCTGCAGTCAGACAGAAACAATTGTCTTTTTTAGTTTACAGTTTTTCCAGATTTATGCTGTAAGCCCCATCCAATTACAACAAAAACGGCACACAACAGTGCAAGCCACGAGGAGACCTCTGTGTTGTGCAGTTTGTGTTTCTATTTGATCTGACATGCTTCAGGGAGAAAATAAATGCAAATCCCACATTGCACAAAGCTTATCTGAATATTCAATGAAACACATTTCCAAACCAGGACAAAATACAAAAGTTATTACTTTGCAAGTTTTTCAGCTTAGTCAATCAAGCTTTCATGCCTTCAGACCACAGAGGGTGTGAGCAGGACATCCAAGACTGCTTGCTCCGGTGCAATCTCATGACAATTCATCCAGAGAGCATTAAACCCATGAAGAGACAGAAGTTGCCCCAGGAGGTATTTCCTCAGCCCTTGGAAAATGCCAGCTATAAAAGAAAGCTGGATTTACCGAGAAGTCAGTCAACTGGCAGCCAGTGCAGGACTCGGCACACAGGTCTCCCAGACAACAACTCTTCCTAGCGAGCAGATATGTCCTGCAGGAGCAGCTGTTTCAGGATGGATGATGGCACCACATCCAGGAAAACTGCTTTAGAGGTTTCCAGGTATCCATGAGGGACTTGAAATCATGCAGATACTCAGTGGCCCAGGTGACATCCACTTCCTTTTGCTTGCCAGTGTATACGTTTAGGGGTACACAACACATCCTTGAGCAACAGCAGCCCAGGCTGCCATCTGCACAATTGATGGGAAGTATACTTCCTCCACTCTGCTGCTTGCTTAATTGCTAGTGTTGCTTCCCAAATCCTTAGTCATAATTTTGAACTTGCACAATCTCAGCCAAATGATTCTCATCCAGTCCTCCATCTTGCTCAGACAATGCATAGCCAATTGGTCTGCACTAAATATTTAGAGAAAATGAAGATACAGAACAGGCAAACTGAAACACTCACCTTGGCTCTCTCCTCACTAATTTGGCTGGTTGTACAGCCAGGGAATCACATAGCTGAAGGACTGGGACCTTGACAAACTTAACAAGAGTCCTAAGAAGAGTGATATGGCTCTATGGAAACACCCATAGGGGTGTAGGACTGTTGGTTTCATACAAACATAATTACTTGGTTTGTTTTTCACCCTTTGCAGATTCATTTTCCAGCCAGCACCCACAGCAGTGGGATAAGGAGGGTGCAGCTCTAAGGAGAATACACATTTCAAAAGTTCCTGGGAATTTGTTTATTGTCTTAAACTTCTCTGGCTTTCAGCAGCTCCTCAAGAATGTGTTAGAATCTGCTCAGTGTGAACCAACTGCCTCAGTGGAGGTTTTCAATTCACTGTATTGGCACAATGGATACCTTATCACATCATTCTTTCACACACATTGACAATCTCTTCTGTGTAATATGCTTTCATTTTTCAGCAGCACAAATCTAGTGTTAAAATAATTGTCTATAATAAATATTATTTTAAATATCTTTATTAAAGACACTCAATGTAGTTCTATTTTCCCCTAACTTCTTTCATAAGGTCATAAAATAAACCAGTATGAAATGTTAAAAAGAAATTCTTATCATCTTAGTAATACTTAAAATGTATTTTTATTCCTCATTGTTTGCTATAAAGTTGATAGGAAATGAGAAAACAGTTCCATCTAATTTTTCACAAAAGGGTCACGTTCTGACAGTTCTAGGCTATGCGCTGAATGGTTACTTTAGTATCACATATGAGTACTAAACAGCCCATTTTTTCATTTAAGGAATTAAAATTTTGCTTTGTAGGATTTCTGTAAGATTTTTGTATGCATATGAGGCTGAGCACTCATTGGGAGGAAGAAATGTGACTAGATTACCCTTAGAAAGAAGTCCTGTTCCAAATAATTCAGGTCAGTAAGGGGGGAAAGTGTGTAGAGGAGAATCTAATAAATGATGGGAAGCCTATGAGGACACAAGTCTAGTGAAACTCCATAATGATTGTGCAGCTGAACATTTCTTGGAAGAAATTTTTGGAGTACCCCGACTTTTCAAGAGGGAACATGGCACAGGACAATGAAGCAGGATCAAAAAATCTTTCACCTGTGTTACCAGCAGCAGGGATCATAGAAGAGAAAGGAATGGAGCCAGGCCTCAGTAAAAGCAGCAAAAGACCTGTTTGGTCTATGGAACCAGGGAATAAGTGGTATTAATCATGTAATCAACACATTTTGAAATGACAGGTCTGTCCAAGTCCATTATTAACATGTCTATGAATTTAACCTAGAAATGTACACAGTATTGTTACTTTCATCAACTGTGCTGCCACTCTGTGCACTCTGTGTTGTGAGTGCACTCCAACAAATCTCTGTCCCAATTCTCCTGTTCAGTTGCCTCGCTTCATCATGGGCTGTTGTGCATCACTAGTGTGTGGCCATACATCTCGCCACAGAGATGGACATCTTTCCATGCTGGGTGAAATGACTTCATGGAAATAGCCAATATTTGAGGAAACACCACTAAAAATGCCAAGTCCCAATCAAAGCTCTAAGCGATGTATGAAAAACGCCCAAATTACTCCCATGAAGTCCATCAGGGGATTAATTTCTTTCTAGGCATCCCTGCCTGTGGAAGATTGGAGCCATGGTTTTCTAGTTCTCTAAAAAGCCTTCTAGACTTACAAGGAACGTTAAGTCTTTAGGAAAGTCAGTGGAAAGGGCGAAGCCATCTGAAAGCCCTGTTTGCACCATATTGTCTTTCGGACCAATCAATCTCTCATCCTCAAGCAGAGATGTCCCTAAGCAGAAGGTTACACCTGAGTGAATATAACACAAGCCTAGTTTTTAGTCAGAATAATTTACTGTTTTCATAAGTGGTGAGAACACCACTTTTACAGTTTATGAATCATTACAATTTTGCTTTTCTGCCCAAGATTAGGTAATGCCGAGAATGTGTCTGTACCTCAGCTAATACAGATGAAACAAATCACATATTTCTAACTTGCCAAAAAAGGATAGGCAATTTGATAGTTGCAGATCTAATTCCTTCTGAATGTCAGTTTCCACTCTAATTTCCTCTCAATTTAAAGGGTCACAGCTGCGAGTTTGCCTTCCTCATGTTTTTCAAGACCATGGTGGTATCTCCAAGCAAGGGCAAGCACTATATGAAATCAGAATGACAGGATGACACATTTTAGGCTATCTGCTAGAGCACACTGGCTCTTTAGTGTACCTGCAGTGGCCTCCTTCTCTGAATGGGGCTGAAGGTTGCAAACAGGGGAAACATCGCTCGTTCTCTTCAGGGAGCAACCTAGCGTGCTCCCCTACCTGGAAAGCTCAAGCACAAGTCTGGTCTCATTCTGTTATGCTGGTGCAGCTTGTGATTCTTTATTAACATTTCCTTTCTTTTTCCATGGATGTAACTGAGATGGGAGTTCTCACAAAAGCAACATAGTAGCAAAATAGCAAATGTGAAATAGTAGCACCAGGACCAAAACTAGAATACATTGCTGAGAATGAGATACAATATTTCAAAAATAAATTTGCACTTCCCACTGTAAAGTGTCAAAATCACTACTCTGTGCTTTTTCTTAATAACTCTAGTACAGGAGCTTTAAAAGTGGTCAAAGAAAATACATCAGTGGAAATATTTTCTCTGAAAAATCAGATCCTTTGAGAAGAATACCTTTTGAAGTCATGTCAATTCCATGAAAATGCTTTAAGAAAGCCATACAAATGTTCTGACAGCTTCAAAGCATTCGATTTTTTTTTTCAGTGTAAAACATTGTAATTTCTAAATCACTATGTTTCAATTTAAGTTAGCATAGCATACGGTGTAACATAAATTAAAAGGTGCCATCATTAAACATGTCCATCACTTTCAATTTTCTTGCAGAAGAAATCTCAAAAATATTCATAAAAGTGACTTTTATCCTCTGAACAGCATATTCCTGGCAGTGTTAAAAGAGACATTAAGAAAAAGAAAAAAGAAACAGCCAAGGAAAAAAGAGGCAAAAGTGTCTGGTTCAGATAGCTTCTGAGAGGGTACTAAATTTCAAATAGGAGAAGTCCACAGAACCAGGCCCATGCCTAAAGTTAATCTTGTGTTTTATTCAGGCCGACATAAAATCCAGTTTTCCACACAAGGATTTAAAGCACCAGAGAGAATAAATCTGTTGGAAACTTGGTGAGATTAGGGCACCTGCCTCCCACAGGTCTCTTGACAAATCTTGCATTTCAAGACAGAGTATTAAAATAAAAAATAAATTATGCCAGAGCTCTCTTGGTGCTATTTCATATTCAGTGAAGGAACCTAAGCAGAATTAAATTTCTACTCAGCTACTTAGCACTGGGCTAAGTGTCAAGAAGTAGCAATTCTTTTCCTCAGGCCAACCTGATAACAATGCCTTGCACTTCACCAGACATTTTGTTGGAAATAAATCTGCATCATGATGGGGCTTTTTGTACAGCTCGAGTCACCACCACTCCCAGGCATGGAAGAGAGCATTATGCACTTAACCTCCTCAGTTGATGCCACCTCTATGGCTCCATACATCCCCACAGCATCAGAGCATCCCTTTCACAGGTGCTATGAAATGCCCACCTCTGATTCATCTCTGACTCATCCCAGCACTCAAGATTGTACAGTCTGGCATGGCTGTTATGTACTGTGGTGTACCAAAAGGAGAATGCAATAAAATCTTAAACCTTGGTTCACTGCCAGAGACCAGAAGAGGTATTGTTAAATAAATGGGATAGGATTTGAGAAAGGAATATTGACTCCTTCCTGTGTTTTGAAACAAAACTAATCCCCAAAATATATGGTTCTGGAAAGTTAAAATTGATTCCTACATGGCATTGGTGAGTTCCCTGGGAGAATCATGCTGTTGCTCCACTCAAATCTATCCCAAAGAATGTTCTAGGGATGTCACAGTCCTGGCAACTGAGCCTTAACATTTGGTAGTATTCTCTGACTTTGTTTAATTTACTAGGAAAAATGTCATCATTGCAAGGCATTGCAAGGCCTATGTACTCCAAATTTCATTTTTATTGAGTTGCACTAATCCAAAGCAAATTATTTCCCTTGATTCTTACCAGTAATTATTATTTATTAATTCTGGTAAATCTGGTAATATTCTCCTTTGTGCAAAAAACAACTAGCCAACCAAAAAATCTTCCAGCTCTAGATATATATTAATTAAATAATACCTTTAAATTCCACTTGGTGTAAATGAATCTGACCCTAAAACTAACATATGGATTTTCCCCAAGCTTTGATAAAGTCTGGATTGGAGTTAAATTTTCATGAAGTTTGGACTTCTTTCAACAGATTCTCTGATTTGGATTCTAGATCTGCTTGACAGACAGAAGCAAGTCTCTAAATGAGTTAATCTTCTGTACAGCAGTAAGATTCAATTGTAAAGCCAAATGGTGATACAAACATCTTTGGTATGGTAGTAGGTTGGATACTGGGAAATGGGGGCGGAGAACAAGATAAGTGAGTGGAAAGGCAGGCAACCCCACAGTACCGCCACTCCTGCTTTAAGACCCAAACACACCTTGCACTGCTAGGGAAAGACAGGTCCTTCTTTGGCTCTCCTCTTCAACAACTTGTCGTATAATCTGGCATGTGGAGAAAGCTGAAGGGCATTAAAAACAGATCTGAGAACAGAAATACAGGCTTTGGGAATCTAGCATATGCAGGGGAGCATGGGCTGTAAGCGGCTCACTGTGAAGCATTAGAAACACCTTAGGTGCTAATAGCTTCTAAAAAAGCTAATGGTTTAATAGGGCTGGAAGAAAAGAACATGCTGGAAATCTTCTCAGGCAGAGTTTTATATATCCTGATGGGAAATGGAGGGGAGGGAGAAGAGACCCATAATTTTCTTCTTAGGTATGTATTGGAATAAAAGAGGAATCATAATTTCTGAGGATTCTCTCATCATGGTATCGATAACTTCACATGTCAAAGATTTCAGTGGGTGGTGACAACCTCCTTCCACATAACCACAGAGAGTACAGGGCTTCAGAGTCACATGTTTATTTAAGTTCATCAGTGCTGTTGCTGCAATATTAACTACAAGCACCTAAAGTACTTCCAAGATCTAAAAAAAAAAAAAAAAAAAAAAAAGACCTTGATAAAAATATTACTTTATATTACTTTGCTGGAAAGCTTTGCTCACATATGGTTAAGGCTGCTCAATTGTTTCCATGAAGTCGATATCAGCATAACTTGAACTTCTGAGAAACCAGAAAATACAGAGGATAATAAAGCAATCTTCAATTCAACCTTTATATACCTGTAATGGAAATAGTTCACCTTTTCAGTGAGTGATTTTCAGAGAGCATTGTATATAACTACTGTAGCTCAGACACCTCTTGTGCTTGGAAAAGTGGACTGTATTCAAAGTGACACTTCTTTTACATGCATGCTCTGACTCAATTTCCTAGATAAAAATTCCATGAAAATTAAATTTTATCTTTTTCCCTGACTCACCATTTAGTCACACACATATTATTAAGC